GAACACACGCTTTCACTCTTATCGAGGATGGGATACGATAATCGCGATAGGAGACGAGCAATAATGCGGCAAACATCTCTAATCTTCGGTTAAAGCGGATCGAACGGGACACGGTGGAAGGATTTATAGATCGCGCAGGTGCGAGGCTAATATCGGCAATTTAGTAATTCTGAAAGCGTCCACTCTTTAAACGCGTACAAATCGAAGTGAAAGAACTCCGCGTTCCGAGAAGTGTAACCGAAGTCAGTCACGAAAGCACAGAGACACGTGCACACGGGCACACGTAACACGACGAGATTTCTCGATAAGTGAACACTTCAATGTCGGAGGAAATTGTTTCTTTTTCTTTTTTAGGTTTCAGAACGATTTTCTTCGACGTGCTCGAACGATCCAACGCGCTTGATTTCGATAATTTTGATCGTGATAGGTGTTATACGATGTTAGTATTGTTTGTTTACTTTCACTTATTATCTTTGAATTATTATCTTTTTTTTTGCAAATTAATGCAAATTTTGAACTAATTTTGCATAAAATCAAATCTTTCTATCAAATCGATCTGGATGATTAAACCTCTCCTAAGATACCAATCTTATGATTATATCCTTATCAAATTTATCTATACCATTATCTATCTCATGGATATTATCTACTATTTCATGATTATAATCTATCTGAATTTATTTTTAACGCGTTGCTCGTATGCAATTCTAAACGAATAATTTCAAATCAAATTTCAAAATCTTTTTTTTTCTTTATTACACTTTTCTTAATTATAATCCATTCCAGGTATATTTCAAATACCTTCAACTCGTCAGGGCCAAACAAATTGTAAAATTAAGCTAAATACAGACGATTGCGTAATCGGATTACAAACGCTTGGAAGTGTATCGTTTCCCTTCCAATTTAGCAATTATATCGATCATAACTGCGAAGGACACGACTATTCTCTCCTTTACAATTGAAATTACATAAAATCGAAGAGCGGAAGCATAAAATTTCGCGAGGGTGTTTGTAGATGCGATAACGAGGCGACCGCAAACTTTCGAGACAGCCGCAAACGCTGATTCGTGTCGTCGAATTGGAAGAAAACATAGAATTGTAGCTATCAGATAACCGAGTTGATTCCACGAAAAAAAATCTATTTTGATCGCACGCTCGCCGATTTTTGCCGCAGAACCAATCGAGAGATGGTCGTAAACATTATTTGTTAAAAATTGCGGTGGGTCAGTGGTGTCATGGATCGCGTGCCACGATATCGATACTCGTTTTTGTTAGACTGAGATAACACTGTAGATCGATTAACACTGATATTGCTAAGAGGTGTAATCACAATACTTTTATTTGATTTCCTTTCCACTCGTGAGGAGCGGAAAGTAAACAAGAATGCGCAAAAATTGTAAAAGCAAATAAATAGATCCTTATGTATAAGTATCATTTCGATAATACTTTTCATGGAATCGATTAATTTTAACCAAGAAACGATTACGATTTTTATCGAATAAACAATTATCAGAATCTTGAATAATCGCGATATCTAAAGAATTACTTTGCATATCGCTTTTAACTCGAACCAACTATCTTCCGAGAAACTTTTTTTAGAATCGTTTCTAAAAATTCTGGACGCGGAACGGTCATCGTGATCGGAGTATTAGGCTACTGTAAACCGCAGCGTCGATTCAAGGTCACGAGTAAAACATCGAAAGAACTTCCGAATATTTCGCAGCGACCTTCGATCGTGATCGAAGAGTCCACGTTCGTCGTTCAACCATTAAAAAAAAATACCTTTTCCACTTTTACTTTCCGCGTAAAACAAAAAAGAAGTAAGTAAAGTTCGTTGAATCAACGTTATGCGTAGATTTCGAACATTTGGAATCCTAATTTTACAATGACCTTCGATCGATCTGGCATCGAGAAACAAATTTCACGAAGAGAGAGAAAGAGAGAGAAGAAAATCGATTCAAGGTTACAAATAGATATCAAACGAGCTTTTCAACTTCCCCTAAATCTAATCCTTGACTCCTCCATGTTCGCTCAAATACAGAAAAAAAAAAGAAAAGAAAGGAAGAAAACGAACGACAAAGGAGAAAAAGTGAAACGAGGAAGCGGAGACAAAAAGGCGGAGGCGGAGAGGGTTCGGATGATAGCGAGCGAATGCTCGTCCAATGACTAAAGCCTGGTGCGCTCGCAGGTGCACGGACATGCATTCCCGTTTGCGAGGGCGTAATATGCAGGTAGACGCGCGGAAATCGTAGATAACCGGTCGACGTGAGGTATCATCAAGGTTCGATAGACAGGAATATAGTTCGTTTAGGCAGAAAAAAATAGTATCATCAGCCTGATTAATCACACGCTGCCCTCTTAACGATAACCTCGAAAGCACCGGGGAGCTTGCCACCCTCCTCACCGTTTCGGATAAAACGCCTGTACGTTGCATGCGCGCTCAATCTTTCATCGATGATCGCGATTTATCGTGTAACGGGTAATTCGCCTTCGCCCCGACCTTGTCTAGAAAACGAAAGTAGACTTGGTGTAGTAGGCTTCGGCGTAGACGATCCACGACGTGACGTTTTATTTGGCGTATTCCACGGAATTTCGCTCGTTCTGACCTTGGCTCGTGGCTATCGTCCAACCGCTTGATGACTAGGCTACACGTGTTTGTTGTTTCGCACTATTTTTTTTTCCTCTCTTTTTTTCAATGTCGAAGAAATACGCGATGTGCTCGGTCGCGAAAAAAAATATTTCCCATTACGTATTAATTTTTGGGGGGGGGAAGAATTATCGGAATTTCATCGATTCCGAGATTAATTGGTTGGAATGTTGATGATCGTCTCGCCTTATACGCGTTATATACAAGGGAAAAGGAATTTTATCGATTAGAGGAGAGAAGCGGTTATTTGTTTACTCACCGTTAAAGAGAAAGATTAACGCCGAATAACGGTTATTGCACGTTTATTGCAGTTGAGATCGTCAACAGACTCGGGATCCTCGAATTAATCTCTTCAAGTGCGCGATGATTTAAGGAAAGCACTCTGAACGCGAATAATTTTCAAATTGTCGGACGCGTTGGTGGCTAACTGAAAATCTCGACCCGAGATTTATCGGCCCGTGACGGAGGGGTCCGGGACACGTGGCTCCGCTTGTTTTCCACCAATCGGAGCACAGTGCTCCGAGTCTCGCTATATTTTGCTTGGCCAATCCTGGTTTAACCTGCTCACCGCCTCCACCACCATTGGCAGATACCAGGCCGATGACTCGTGCGATCTTCACCAAGAAACCAAACAGAATCCCTCGATCAGTAGCGGCGCGCGCCGCCTGCTATCTAACGAATAAAAATTCGCGATCGGGCGGAGGGTGATGGCATCGTTGAGGAATTTTCGTCGCGTAATTAGCCGAGACATTCCTCCCTTCCTCCCGCTCGTGTGCGATTTCTGCGACGCAATTTTACCTGGCCGACACGAACTTTGAAACGACATTGTTATCTTTTTTTTCCTTCTTCTCCTTCTCCTTCTTCCTCTTTTTCTTTTTCACAGGATGAATTACAACGACGACGATTACTGCGACGATAGGCGAGGAGAGTGTTTGCTCTTCATCGAAGATGTGCTGTCGTGTATGTTGACACTGTTGGAGAAGGTTTGTTGGATCATTGGTGACTAACGACACTTGTTGATTCGAGAATTATTAAATTTCCTCGTTTATCTTGGCCATTTCGACGGTAACACGATAAACGGATACGTGAAAACACAATCATCGGATATATAGGCGTTCTTACGTAACACACGACTTCGAGGATTACGCTCATTTAATAATCCCTCAAAATGTTTGACGGGAATGATTTAACGATTCGACTCGAGAAGAATTATCGAAATCTTTATTGAAGTTTCCTCGTTTATCTCGGCCATTTTTTCCAACGATAAACCGACACGTGAAAAAGACAATCACGATATTCTTACGTAACGCAAGAAGATTACGCTTATTCCCTCTTTTAATCCCTCGTTTATCTTTCCCATCCGATATCTCGAATCACAAACACAGGTGACAACGTATCATTCAAATAATACTACGGGTATATCGGTCGCGAGTTGCAGGTAGTCCCACATTGTTTGTATGTACACAGAAGAGAGTCCACGCCTTTCGCGACCATTGACTCATCAAGGCGAAAGGCATCGAAGGGATTCAGCGAAATATCAGGCAGGTTAGTCAGAAGCGAGATGAATCACGTGATTTTTCGAAAGAACAGGTTCGTGCCTAGCAACCGTTCGATCGAGGAGGTTTTTTAAGGCCCCAGATAGACCGCGGGTCCTAACCCAAGGGACCCGGGCCGACCCTCCCCCGACCGATCAACCCGCCGAGTTAACTCGAACGCACTGTGACGGACGTACCAACAGCAGGAAACGAACCCGGATGACTCACCGCCTCGCTCCGAGGAAACGAAGCTACGAAGAGCCTCGTGCACAGAAACTGGAACGCAACCAACTCTTACCGCGGTTACGCGCATCGCATAATCTCGTTACCGCGCGCTTCTCTTCAGCGCTACCCGGCCCACCACCCGGTCACGCGATCGTCCACGAAATTCACGTGCCTTTCGAGCTTCACGTGTCGCAATCCGTATTTGTATCGTTCTTCGTGCAATCAGGTCTTGATAAATGTTATCGAAAGTGGATACGAAGTTTGGATTCTTAATTAAGAATTGATCCCCTCACTTTCTGTTATTTCATTAACTCGTTTGAAAATTTTTTGGGTATAAATAACGAATATCGAATATTATTGGGTTTCTCAAGCACAACGATCGCGTTTACAAAGGCGCTCGAGCAAAAATGCATCCTCCAAGTTCCTTAACCTCGCGTTTCGATCATGGAGATGCGAGATGCGTCTCTCTCTTTCTTTCTTCGCGGAAACAGGCGTCAGTTTCTGGTCGAGAAAATTGGTCTCCTCTTGGAAGAGGAGGAGTGCTTCGACCCCACGGGAAGGAGTTTCGTTTTTGTTTGGTTAACAAGCACGCGTGCGTTTCGACGAAAGGGGAAGGCCGGAAGCGAGCGAATAATTTCGCAATAAGGTGTTTCTAATCGCCTCGCAATCTCGCGTATTCTCCTCGCCGTTTTCGTGCACGTGGAATCATAATTAAGAGGAGAGGGCCAGAGGAGAGGAAGTGGCCGGTCAGGAAACGAGGCGACGCGACGATTTTTCACGGCCCGTTCTCATTGTTCGCTGCGATAAAATCGATTATTCGCGATCTTTTCTCGCGCCAGGGAAGAACGAAAAGAAGATGAAGTGGCGCAGGCCGACAATTCGCTTAAATGGAACCAAGAAACCATTTACTCGTTTATCGAGCGTTGCGCGCATCGCCGTAACGCGTGCGATCTATTGTATTACCGATGAGAAATTTCATCGCGTTATGGTGCTGTTGCGTGCCTCAATCCTTTTAATGGCCACCCCCTATCATTTAAATCCCTCACCGGGAATGGGGTTTATGGTTTATAAATGAAGATTGTCTTGCAACCTTGTCTCTTTCTAATATTCCTCGCAGAGGATAATAAGATCGATCGATCCAATCATTCGAAGAATTTTTAATCTTACAATTCCATAAGAAGGAAAGTAATCAATATCAATAACGATTCGTAACGAGGAATCGTTCGATCCTACGAAATTCTGTCAAAATTTTACGACGTAAAAGAAAAAGAAAAATTAATAAATTTTCCAGAATCGAAGAGGCTAGAGATCTCCCACGATCTTCGTCGATTACGTCGAAAGAAAGTCGCGAGCAGAAAGATCCATAAATCGCTGCGACAGCGGCGCGACTCGCAGGCCGGACAGAGGCATAGAGAGCCAGACAGTCGCCAGGCAGACGGACACCAGACGGAGACGGTGAGAGCACTTTTTCCTTTTTTTTTTTTTTTCCCCCTCTTTAAGACGGGCCTTAATATTCTTATTGGGCATCGGCGGCGTCTAAGTCCTCAGGAGCTCGTTTCCCTTTTTTTTTCTTTTTTCCACCTCTTCAAGACGGGCCTTAATATTCTTATTGGGCATCGGCGGCGTCTAAGTCCTCAGGAGCTCGTTTCCCTTTTTTTTTCTTTTTTCCACCTCTTCAAGACGGGCCTTAATATTCTTATTGGGCATCGGCGGCGTCTAAGTCCTCAGGAGCTCGTTTCCCTTTTTTTTTTTTTTTTCCACCTCTTTAAGACGGGCCTTAATATTCTTATTGGGCATCGGCGGCGTCTACGTCCTCAGGAGCTCGTTTCCCTTTTTTTTTCTTTTTATTATTATTATTATTATTATTATATTTTCGAGACTCCGAGCCCACAGGAGCCCGGTTTCGAAATTGTACTTTTTATTGACCGCGCTCTCTAAACGATGTAAAACTTACATCTACGTATGATTAAATTTAACCTCGTATAAGGCACCTCTCATAAATAATTCAGCTTGAAAAATTCAAATTAAATATCGTCTCTCTCGGTCCCTGTATACCGATTGAATAATTATTAAAATATACATTTTTATGAAGAAAGTGGAGCTCGAGTAACAGATTTGTTTCATTCCACGAATTATTAATTCCAATTGTTTTTTTGTTCTGTTATTTAAATTTTGCACAAATTATATATCTAATAATTCCGGAATGACTAGTCTAGTAGAACGATCACGTACAGCTCGAAAATTCAAATTAAATGGAGGAAAGAAATAAAAAAATAAAAAAAAAAAGAAAGGTACCATTATATCTGTCCGTCGAACAATTGGAAATCAAGGTGTTGGAAATGTTAAGATGCTTTTTCCAAAGATGTATGGTTGACAGCAGGACGATCATTGATGCGTTTAGAACGTAGAATCGAGGCGTCGAGACGGCACCACGAGAGATTTCCTACGGCGCAAAAGACGCGCCCACACCTCCCTTTTGTCCTTTTTTCTCGGTCGACCCGTGCATTATTTTCTTCCACAACCCCGGTCCCGGATCGGACCAATGCACCTGCACAAGACGGAACAGGTCCCAACAGGTCCCAACAGGTCCATCTGGCTCGGATTCCCCTGCTTCGATGCTTCTTACCTGTCCCTCTCCTCCCCCCCTCCCTCTCGACGGTCTGATTTCAGGGAGACTGTCATTTTTTCTGGAAACCGCTCGGTAGGAGTGTTTGTGTTTGGAACACGATTTTTAGCCCGACTCCCCCTCCGGATTCTTTTTTCAAGTTTGTGGAAATTTTTACGATTTAACGAATTAACGGTTAAATCGAACGGTTGCATCGAGGAGAAGGACGTACGTATTGAATTAACGTAATCTTATATCTTACATTGAATTCTTTTCGTAAGAGATACAATTCTACAATTTCGTACAAGGAAAGGAAAACAATAGCCTTTTAACATCCGTTCTCCAAAATAAATATGCATTAACCCATCGCGTTTTTTTCTTTTTCTTTTTCTTTCTTTTTTCCGCTCCCTCCCTTCTACATTTCCGCTGCATCAACCTGACACGACTTCACAAGCAGGCTGCCTCGTTTACGAAATCACACGGGAGTAGGAATAGTTATTATCTCCTTGCCGATCGATGCTTATCTTTCCCATAATCGCCGTCCATTTTCGTAACCATTGCCACCCTATCGTCCCTCCCTTCTATCTATCTCGTCTCACGAACGACACGAGACCGTGGAAAGAATTCGCGAACGGTTCGACGATCCACCACGGTTCACCTTGAGTTCCCACGGCCGGGAAAATCGAGCCGGGGAGAAGAGAAATCGAGACGACGCGGTAGCGGCGGAAGGTCGTTCAGATAAACCTAATCTCCAGATAACAGTGTAAATTTGCGGCCTCGAGAGAAAGAGAGAGAGAGAGAGAAAGAGAGAGAGTTATGGTGTTTGGATCGTCGCCAGACGGAACCGCGTCGAACCGCTCTCCTGCCAAGCTCTGGTCCCAAGAATACACGATACGAGTCCGAATCGCGTAAAAGAATCCGAAGCTTGTGTGCGACCTGCGGAGAAATCACCCTTGTCATTTCTCAAGAATCGGGACAAATGTTCCACCAACTCGTTAGCGGAAAACCAATCCCGTTTCTCGAAGCATCAGTCAACACAGCTTTGGTAGCTTTACGCCTCCTCTTTCTTCCTCTTCTTCTCTTTCTCTCTTTCTTTTTTTCTTTCCCTCTTCTTATTTTTTTTCTCTCCACCCTCGAGTCAGCTCGGTTCGCGCGACCAACCAAGGGGATGAACACACTTGTGTAAACGTGACCCGAACAGCGGCGGAGATGACCAGAGGAGAGGGAAACGGGAGAGCGCAGCGAGTGTCCCTTTGCAGAGGGAGAAGGACAGGGCAAAGTGGATTTCTGGTGGCTGGTAAAAGCTGGTAGAATCGTCTCGAGACGTGGCGGTTTCACATCTGGCCTTGCCTTTTCTCCCTTCGTTTTCGTTAGGAATATACGGCCGTGAAAAGATCCTCGGCCGCGTCACGTAATAAATGGCATGGGGCCCCGAAAACTGGTCCCTCTCCTCGCCGTGGCCCCTATCTTTATGA